CCCCGCCCTGCCCTGTCGGAGTGAGGAGCGGGGAGGTGGGAGCAGCCAATCACGAGCAAGGACAGATAGGTGCGACCGTAGCGGCAAAGATGAATTGCTACTCTCATGTTATAAGTATGGTTATAGGAGGTAAGTAGTTTAATAAGCATTTTATTGGTAGGTAAAATGCTGTCAATAAATAAGTACCTCTCCACCCCTCGTTCCCCCAAACCACACGGGCACGTTAAGCCGTCGGTCCCGATTAATCTCTATGATCACTTAGATGGCGATCGTTACACAACCATGTCAGAGGCTACTTGCAGTAGACGGTTGAAAAACTCTGACACCAGGGTCCTTCGGGTCGTTGGGCGACTTGGTGTACCACTCGAAGAAGATGAAGTTCCCCCGAAATGCAAAAAAGCTATAATACTAAAGAAATCTAGGATTTTGGCCAAAAACCTGGATCAGTTTAGAACGATGGCCGAAGGAAGTCTACGATTTTGCCATATGCCGGCTTTTGGCCAAAAACCTAATTCTGCCATAGCATCGTACTGCCACAGAATATATAATAGTACTAGGGTACAGAAAATTCACTCCCTAACAAAAGCCATGGTTAGGTATAAAAAGATACCTACTCTCGGCTTAGCCGACCGCCCGCGAGCAAAATTGAAACTTATTACTGCGCGCGAACGGCTCAATCTCCACTGGACGCCGCCGGACAATGACCCGGCCGCGCGCGCTCTCAAAGGGTTGTCACAATAATCGAGTAGGTATTTTATTTATCTGTTCAGTACATAGGTATTCTAAGTAACTATAAGACAAGCATTGCAAGTGTTTTTAAATCGAATTTGAAATAAGCTAGCGTAACATTAACAATAGTAAGTAGCTACCTACCTACCTACTTATCTTATGAGACGATAGAAAGTGAAGCTCACACAAACTTATTTCTCATCATTAAATTTTGTTTAAAGTCTGGTTAGGTTAGGACTCGAACGACCTGAAGCAAAGTGGTTCCGTACTTTGGAAGGCACGTTAAGCTGTCGCTCCCAGTTGTTGTCTATAGTACCTACAATTACCTACCTACCTACTTAGACACACACAACCAACTCGCAACGCGGGGGCGCGGCGGCGGCGGGCGGCGATGCGCGAGCGCGAGCGCGCTGCTTATTTCCATCGCACTCGCACGTGAGCGCAGCATCAAGGGTTAGAATGAGACACCGCTGTTGTTGGTATGAAATATCTTCGTAACAAATATATGCGTATTTCGAAAAAATAATTAAGAATATGACATTTGACTTAATGAGTTACGTTTTTACATCAAAGTATGTTTTGTGACTTCAACATTGAAATAGCTATATCTCAAAAACTGGTCATTTTTGCTCGCTGATTTTTTGATGAGAGGATTACGTACTACCTTTCCCCAAAATTTCAGCCAATTTGACCGGAAGGCCCTTTCGAACAAATCGTGCGGGGTCCCTTATAAATAGCAACAAGTAGGTGAAAATTACCAAAATATAATTTTAGAAAAAACTTCTTCTTTGGAATAACTAACGAAAAAACTTATTTCCGGGTTATTGTTCTTACACATATCTAGGTACATTGCAGTATTTGCGAGGTCCATGGCTAGCCATTTTCAACACTTCCGAAAATTTTGAAATACCTACCTAATCCGAATACGAACAAACGCGCGGTGAATCTCGCGCGCGGCAGCCCGCTGAGATTAGCCCCTTCAAGGGGCACCCGGGCGGTTAATACCTAATCCGCGGAGTGAAACCCCCCTGGTACTGCGACAATTATATCACAGGTACCTACCATCCGTTAACACACTCTTGACAACATTCAAGTAGTAGTAAATTTGACGAAACGTGGTAAATTACTTGTTGCAAAGTTCTGTGCATGGTTTCAGAAGGTTTCAGACATCACCTTTTCAGAAATTGGTTTCCTGGGCTCAAGTTAAAAATTTCCATTTCATTTTGGGAACTTACTGTAACTAAAAATCTATATATCTTAATAATAAGTCTGTTTGACAGAGGAATGCAACGCATTGAGCGCACTCTACCCAGCGCGAGTGTGGGAGGCCCTGCCTCGTACCGCGGTTTCAGCGCCACACGGAAAACATCCATTATACGTAAGTACATACATACGTAGAGTGTGTTACCATTTATTCAAACTGGTAAATCTAGGTATCACCTTGCCTCAATTCGGGTAATAAAGTCCTCTTAACCTTAAATTCAGCACTGTCACTTTCCATTAAATAGGTTTACAAAAGGATGGGAGATATCCAGGTTCTGCTTTGTTTAAAAAGTGTGTCAGTCAATAAGTTATTCGCCATTTCTCTTCAATTTAGTCGGCATTGTTTTCATCGTCGCCTTATTTTGACACAACAATACAAACCTCATCTGATTTTACGCTATCCTACTATCCTACTAATATTTCCTACTAATAAAGGCGGATGTTTGTGTGTGTGTTTGTTACGACATCACGCAAAAACGGCTGATTAGATTGACATGAAACTTTGCAGAAATATAAAAGGGCATCTGGAATAACACATAGGATACTTTTTACCACGGAAAAATGTCTCATTCCCACGGGATCACGCATTTTCCAATATTTTTGAAATAGGTGGCGTGACTGAGCCGATTCGCGTTTTAAACGTTTTCGCCGAAAACTAACAGCGACATCTCTCGGCGAATAATGCTTTTATCCCGCGGAATAATAGGTTGCAGCGGGTGAAACCGCTGACGGGCAGCTAGTGTTCTATATTTTGTCGTTTCAAATTTCAGTTGGAGTACGGAGTGGAGCCAGAAAACTTGCGAGTATCTCCTGAACCACCCCCAGCAGCGCATACTGACCATACACCTGCTAGTAATATGGATTGTATACGGTATGTATCGGGTCGTTGGTTTGGTCAGTTTTAAAAGTTGTTCAGTTCAATTTAAAAACTTTAAAGTGCTCTATTTAGAAATTGCGCTGTCGTACCAATGTGAGAGTTTGGAAATGTGTACCTAGTTTATTTTTTGCGGCTGTTTCAACTCACCTCACCCCGCGGCTGTGACCCCGCAGATGTAGTATAAAGCACTATGTATTATTCGGAAGAAAGTCCTTGGTGAAGACAGCAGCCGCTATCACCTCATCAAAAATGGACTTCCACAGGGATCGGTGCTGGCGCCGCTTCTTTTTAACATTTATACCCGCGATATGCCCCACACAAGATCGTTAAAATTTGCCTATGCCGACGACCTGGCACTGGCTTACCAGTCGCGAAGTTTTGAAGAAGGGGAACAAGCACTGGCAGAAGATCTTAACACTATGGCTAATTACTACACCAAGTGGCGACTGCAGCCGAATCCTACCAAAACCGAAGTTACATCTTTCCATCTCACAAACTGCCTTGCCAATAGGAAACTTAATGTTGTGTTCCGTGGTGTAAAACTGCAGCATAATTTTACACCAAAATACCTTGGCGTGACACTAGACCGCTCACTTACATTCAAACAACACCTCGAGAATGTGAAACAAAAGGTAAAATCACGGATTAACATTATTCGAAGGCTGGCAGGCACAAGTTGGGGCGCATCTGCATCAGTTCTCCGTACATCTGCTCTATCGCTTGTGTACTCGACAGCCGAGTACTGTGCGCCCGTATGGAGTCGCAGTGCACACGTACACAAAGTTGATACCCAACTTAATGAAGCCATGCGCCTGATCACGGGAGTAATCAAGTCTACTCCTCTTCCATGGCTGCCCGTCTTAGCGAATATACCTCCACCAGTGCTACGCAGATGTACGGCAACTGCTAAAGAGTGGGAAAAGTGTTCTCAGACGAACCGCTGTGGTCCCATGCCCATTAGATACACTCTAGACGATCTTCCTGCCTCCCGATTACCATCAAGAACACCCATTTGGACGGACGAGCGTATCAAAGAGAAGATTCCCATAAATGAGGCGTGGCGATCGGAGTGGGGCCTGTTTGAGAGCGCAAACTCGGATTTGGTAACCGATCCAACAATAAAACAGCCTGGTTTTGATGCCAGTAGAAAGATCTGGACCCGGCTAAACCGGTTTAGGACCAACCACGGGAAAACAAATCACCACCTCCACAAATGGGGTCTAAAGGAGTCACCACATTGCGACTGCGGAGCACCTGACCAAACCTTAGCCCATGTTGTAAACGAATGTCCACTTCGCCGTTATCCCGGTGGTATAGCCGATCTTCACAAGTTCACTCCCGACGCAGAGAACTGGCTAAAAACCCTTGACATAGACGTTTGATCCAGGCAGGGATTGCCATACGATATGATGAAGAAAGTCCCTCATCCCAAGTATTAAGGCCGCCTTGTTGTACCGTTTCTTTTAATAAATATAGTAATAAAAGTAATAAATATGGTGGACAATTTACACAGCGCCATCTAGCCCCAAACTAAGCATAGCTTGTACTATGGGAACTAGACAACTGATACTAATACATATGGGGTGTTAGGGACGGTGTAACGAAAACTTTGCAGGCGTGCTCAGACCATGAAACTGAACAACTTTTACTATGGAGCCAATGGTGGGAAACGAAAAAAAAATTCCGACCTCCCATACAAAGTCAGTCAGCTGACCGTGAATTTTGTATGGGAAGTTGGTTTTTTTTTTACGGTCGAATCCACGACCCTCGGCGTAGAAGGCAGGTGTACTATCCGCTACGCCATCGGGACAGTCGATTTTGTTTGTCTTTTTCTGTTGTTGTATTATTCCTTGTGTGCAATAAAGAATTTTGTTCTGTTATGTCACCCTCGTTAGTAATCGGTTCCTTTCTTCCCCCGTATACAATGTTACTATTCTTGCAGATACATGTACCTGTGTGGCGGCGGAAAATGGCGCGCGTGCTGTCGCTGCGGCGGACGCGCTCTACCGCACCCCAACCCAACCAGACATCCCCTACAACGAGCACACGACGCTAGATTCCTGCCGAATTGCAGGTAAATCAGCTACCGATCGTAACTTTGAAATGAAAATAAGAAATTGAAAAAATATTAAACATCGACCGGGGATCGAACCCGGGACGCGAGTGGTACCGTCGCAAGACTCTGCCAATGAGCTATAGATGCACCGGTCGATGCTTGCCAAAATTCAATCTCTTGATCCTTGTCTCCAAGCGACGATCTGTTTACAACTGTTGTACCTGGTGAGGCCACATTACAGTAAGAGTTCAAACCATATGATGAGGTTTTACCGCGCTTGATTTTAAACGGGTTCTTATTTACCGCACTTGTTTTCGAACAAGCTTTTATTTACCACACTTGTTTTACCGAACTTGATTTGTAACGTGTTCTTAGTTCTTATTTACCGCACTTGATTATCAAAGTGTTGTTATTTAAATCACTTGATTATAAACGTGTTTTTATTTACCGCACTTGATTTTAAACGTTTTCATATTTATTTACCACACTTGATTATGAACGAATGATGGAACCGCAGCGGGAAAGACTTTGAAGAAAATACAGGATGAAGTTAAACTATAATAATTTATTAAACGTAACATAGTTTCGATGTGTGAAAGCTATGTTACAATTTAAACTTAGTCTAACATTATAACTAAGATACTAGTCTAGGCGACTTTGCCTTCGATGGGTGAAGACAGAAGTGCTGGTTTGATGCTGAAGCCCGGCTTTATACTGTTCTTCAGCTGTAGTCTTGGAGGGGTCGAACTGTAGACTCAGCACTTCGTGTGATGGCCATCCGTGGTCAGCTTGAATCTGCACGTGGATGGAATCGGCAGATTCATCTCTTCTTGGGCACGTTCTTCCGCCTGCATTCCAGTGTCTCGAGCCGTAATCTACCATACATGAACACGTTTGCACGTACGTAGAATTATCACGTCCAAAAAGGTTCGAGTCGACAGCGTCTGCGAGATTAGGGACTTCCGCATAGCTCGTACATAACATCTCCACCCGCAGATCAGCAACTATTTTCCAACGTTTAGTGAAAATGTTGCTGGAGGTTTCCCTGGGGTAAGGTGTTCTTCTGCTCTCCTGAAATCTGTTCTGATTCTGTCGTCTCTATGTCGATCCATGATGGGTGTGGGTTGATACAGCGGCGATTGCTTCTCGATGACTTCGTTTCGTACTGGATATTGCTGTCTTCCAATGGCTGACCTTGATCTTTATTATATTCCAGGATCATAATGTGGATGGGCAGCGATGTCGTCACAGTTGTAGGTTAGTTAGTCATCTTGAACTTTACATTGGTTGGTGGTAGGTATATTCCTTTTCGAGATGGTGTCAGTTTCTCAATTTCGGGCATTCTGCGTTATTCGGTACACGAACAAATTCTCAATAGTTGCTATCAAGGGATAGGAAGGAATGAGGATTTGGTGGTTCTAATAGGAATATTGGGAAGTCTTAATAAATTTAAATACTCTCTAAGGGAATACTAAATTACTTGATTTCCAGGTGACATATTACCTACCTATTATCCAAATCATAAAGTACATAAAATTTCCTAACTACCTTTTTACCTATACACCTAGACCTAGTACATTAAATTATTCAAAGTAGGCCACATAGACTATACTTTTATAGTATCGTCTATGCCCCTTTAAAGTTTTTCTATTATAATTTAAAACTAATACCTACTTGATAAATTATATCATAGAATGCTCTATGCATCTATAATAGAATATCTAAGTGAAGCTATTTCATCTATCTATCTAGTCTATCCATAGGTGCCCGATGCACGCATGAAATTTCTAAATACCTATCTAATACAAATGAACATATTCTGCAATTTTCATTCAGTGCTCGATGCACGTAGAAAATTGTGCAGAATATTAATAATTTTATTAAATAACATTACCTAGCGGTCAATGTCATTCATTCATTACATTACCTACCTATTGTAACGATTTTAGCTAACTTTGCACATTTTGCACGATGCAATACCTAACCTAGTGCAATAATTTACTGCTGATTCGCGATTGAACAGCTAAGTTATAAAATATTTCTTTTATAAAATTTATCCTAATATATCATGAGGAGGGTGAAGGGGTCTCCTTCAACCCTCAAACGAAAGCCTGCGTATTATTTTATTGCAGGGTACGTTTGACCTCAATACTTTGTAACTTGTAAAGCTACACAAATTAAAACCAAATTCCCTACCTAATAGCTAATTCACGCTGAGTCAGCTCGATGCAGTCTCGCGATATCTAATTAACTACATAGGAACAGGGACAGTAAAAAAAAAAGGTAATGACTATGATAAAAGGAAGCAACACGAGAACGGTTCAAGTGTACTTAGGTACATGATTATCCTTCATCTCTGGTTTCCTCGTGAATCAATGTCTGGATTCCTCCTTCCCACAGAGCCCCGTAAATTCTTCCACTCCAAGGCGGCGACGTAGTCCGCCCAGGCGACTTCCCGAGCACGAACATGGTTGTCCTTAAAGCTCGCAAAAGTCCTGTGAGTGCTTACCGACTGCGCCAATGATGGAACCGCAGCGGGAAAGACTTTGAAGAAAATACAGGATGAAGTTAAACTATAATAATTTATTAAACGTAACATAGTTTCGATGTGTGAAAGCTATGTTACAATTTAAACTTAGTCGAACATTATAACTAAGATACTAGTCTAGGCGACTTTGCCTTCGATGGGTGAAGACAGAAGTGCTGGTTTGATGCTGAAGCCCGGCTTTATACTGTTCTTCAGCTGTAGTCTTGGAGGGGTCGAACTGTAGACTCAGCACTTCGTGTGATGGCCATCCGTGGTCAGCTTGAATCTGCACGTGGATGGAATCGGCAGATTCATCTCTTCTTGGGCACGTTCTTCCGCCTGCATTCCAGTGTCTCGAGCCGTAATCTACCATACATGAACACGTTTGCACGTACGTAGAATTATCACGTCCAAAAAGGTTCGAGTCGACAGCGTCTGCGAGATTAGGGACTTCCGCATAGCTCGTACATAACAAACGTGTTGTTATTTAAAGCACTTGTTATAAACGTGTTTTTATTTACTGCACTTGATTTCGATCAAGTTTTCATTAACCGAGCTTGATTTTAAACGGGTTCTTATTTACCGCACTTGTCTTTTAAACAGGCGCTTTTTATTTGGTTAATATAAAATTGGGGTTTTATTTTATGTAATTGTCTGATATGTTATTGCAGGTGCGGTGGAAAATGGACATTGGTTTCTATTATTTGAGGAACTGCAGCCAAAATTCGAAAGAAATAACTAAGAAATAAAAATAATAAGAAATTTTAATGTAGTTAAGTTTAGGTGTATATTATATTTTGCAACGAAATTAATTATAAGAAATTACACAGATTTGTTTTTTAGTTTGTGTTTTTGTTCTATATTATTTTGGGTGACGAGGGTAAAAATGATACAAAATCCGTGTAGATTTTTAATAAATTTTATTGGAAACAAAATAATTATGCTATGTATTGCACGTGCGTGACTCACATTTCGAATATCCCGATATACACGTTGAGCAAACCCACTTACGCTTACTATATGTAACCTCAGAGCAATAAACAGGGTGTTAATTTAAATGCGTGCCATAGCTTCAGGGTAGGTTAAGTATCAATTCTAAAAAAAAACCCAGTCTAAAAAATATATCTTTTTTCGGATTTAGCCAAAACTTTTTTTTGAACTGTTGTTTAGAAGGAGATTTGCTTCAATATTTTTTACGGCATTCTTTATCGAAACTAACCCTACCCTGAAGCTATGGCACGCACTTGAATTAACACCCTGTATAAACAGGCTATAGAGTGCGCCTTACGGTTAAACGGTTGGCATCGGTACGAACACTACCACTCTTTCATCGGTAGCCAAACGACAGTGATAACACTATTGAATCTCTATTTTTTGACTTATGTATCTGTAGAACTTTGCTTACGAGATACAGACACTTTATAGCCTGCTTATGTATACTCTAAGTATGTAACCTATTGCGACATTGTGCTATCATCATATCCAGTGGGACACCGAGTCGACGAACGACCCGATGAACCCAGAGTGCTACGCTATGTTGCCAGCCTTTAATATTGTAAGCTACAGTACGACAAATCTAAAATGAACATAGTAAGGACTTAAACAGGGCCTTAGATGGTATTAGCCTGTTTAAACATGCCAAATGATCGACTAAGGCACAAACTCCACGCGTGACGCGCAATATGTCATCTGTCAGACAAGCGATCGTCAGTGTGTTGATTGTATCTTCTGTTTCATACATTTTATAGGAAATAGTTCAAGCGTCGCGATGTCGCACGTCTTACATCTAGGGCGATCACTTGTTTGACAGATGCCATCCGCATGCGGGTAATCCATGTCTCTTCGGTGGAGCTTGCCTCATAAAGACTGAAAATCTATCATTTCAATGGTTTCTATATTTATTTTAGTCTAATCGAACTGTATTTTCCCTTATTTCTTGGTTGCAAAAAAATTGTAAGACTGGCGACATTCGGATTTTAAACTTCATGAATTTCATAGTAAAAACATACAAGTTCCACTATAAACATAATGGTAAAATGTAAATCATAGTTCATTATTTTCCGCTCTTTTATAGTACAAAAATGTATATTATGCTATGCAGTTCATACAAATAAAACTGATAAAGCATTACATTTTCTCTGAAAATTGTACTACACTTTTCATACACAGATCATTAGAATATTTAAAAAATAAATATGTTTTCTATAGTCTGCATATAACTGAAGTTAAAAATCGTTACTTGAAGTTCAAGAGATTCATATTTTATTCGTTTAAACAACAAAACAACAAGTTTACAAAGTTCATGAGATACTTACAAATAGTAAAATAATGTCAGGCTTCAAATAACGAATTAATACTTATGAAGTATAACACAGTTTAAGGGTATAACACACCGCTTCCGTATGCGCGTGACGTGCACGTCATCACGCGCGTACTATGACGTTGTAATACATCATGGTATCGTATGAGACGCGGCACGCACGAGCATGCATATTTCCTGCATGCGGAGGCGGTGTGTTCTGCCCTTTAAAAGGATACGGAGTACATTTAAAAAGCGTTGGGTTTGTGACATACCTAATTAAAACCATCAGGGTTTTTTGACAAAGGATGAGGTCTCAGG